GGGGTTACTCATTTCGTAGTTTCAAAAGTACAGTGTTGTATTTCCACATCTGTTAAACTTAGCTGCCAAACCAAACATGTTTTGTTTCAGTTAAAAGTCAGGCATTCATGATAGTGAAGCTTTAATTAGGGATTATGGTGCAAATAATTTTCCAACTATCCCATTTAAAGGTAAAATTGTAAAGAAATTTGAAGATACTGACCCGATTACAGATATTGGAAGGTCTATGAGTCAACGCTATACTCGTTCCATATAACTACTGTAGGTGAAAGTGTAGCTGAATACCCAAATGAGTCCATTTCTCGACGTCCGCAGGAGATGGGAGTTTCTTATGGCATATTATGGCATATTTGGACTTACACCTACATCCATATAATGACCAGCTTACACAACAACTGAAGCCAGCTGACTATTCGCAGCGCCGTATTTACCGGGGATATGTAAATAGGCAAAATTGTCGCATTTAGGGCTTCGGAAATCCTCAAGTACTTGAAAAGCGGCCATTACTTCCAATGAAAAAGCTCACTGTCTGGTACACTTTTTGATACGGAGCAAATATTGGACCTTACTCCTTTCAAAACGACAATGGCGAGAGTGTCACTATCGATGAGAAGCTTTAAGGTCCAACAGCTTTTGGCCAGCATGTGGTTTCAATAAGACGGTGCCACATGCAAAACAACACGAACGAGTATGGCTTTAATGTGTGAGAATTTTCCCGACCACGCAATCTCTCGTCTTGACGATGTCATTGGTCGGGGACATCGAGTCATTTGACACCGTTGGCTTGGGATTACGCAAAAGATCGTGTTTATGCGGATAAACCTTTAATTCTGGAACACTTTAAGAGCAACGTTCGTCAAGTTATGGCGAAGATACCGGCTAATATTGGGTGTAGTTTCATTTTTTCCTTTCGTATCCAGCCTTATTAAATTGGTGCCAAAGGGGTTTTTGAGCAATCCTGAGCGCTTAGGCAATCGAAACAGCGCTTTGAATGACGTTCGGAATCCCATATCCGTGATTTTATCGATATTCCAATCCGTGAAACATCTTTTACATCAAAATTACCAGAAATAAGCCGAAACGGATGCTGTTTTTGTAGTCCGGAAAGTATTTTTTGAGGAATGTTGCGAAAGTGACAGTCCATAGACGAATAGAAATCCGCATCTTTCCGTTATAAAGACCCGACTGTTGCTGGAACTATTACATTTTAATAGCCTCATACGAGAGGCATGCTTTACCTCGGGTAAATTGACGTAACACTAACCGCTTAACCGAAATTTTGGATGATTTACGCTGACATTATCAGGACCATAAACGCTATTGACATTTTTAGCCGTCTGAAAAGTACAAAAAAGTAATATTTCCCAAAAAGTGGTAGAAAATTACCTTCAAGAGCAAAAATTCGCGAGGCGGTCATTTAAATGTTGAAGTTTTTGGCATAAAATCCCAAGGCTCACACTTAATAAAAAACAGAAGTTTCATGAAAAAAGTTTACTTCAAATGAGTTCTACTCGCGTTTATTTTCCTAACAGCGAAATTGATAACCCTGTATATGCATGACTGAGCTCGGCAAATGGGTACTGGGGTGTTGGGCCATTGGAAGGGCCACGAAAAAAAAAACAAAACGCAGCCAACACACTTTATGCAAATAAGCGCACAATATGTCATTACACTGACATTGATGATGACAATTTTGATGATGGCGCCCAATGGTGGGCTACACTCGTATGTATGTATGTGTGTATGTACATAGGTGTGAGAGAGATAGAGAGGGAGATGACAGAGCTCACCGTTGCTGGATTCGTTGATTGCAATGGGATATAAGAATATTTTGACGCAGATCACTTTTGCTGCAATGTTTTATAATTAAATAGAGCCATCATTTTTTACGCATAAGCCGCATATATGTACGTGTATGTACTTACTTAGATAAAATATATAGTCACATACATCTACATATACGTATATTAGTATATACATATATTCATGCATGGGGTTATTACTTCCAATGCATACGAAAACTTTGTTTGTGGATAATGAAAAATAACTGCTGCTGACTACAGGCAAATTCAATTTATATGCAAATATGCTCTTGTGCACCCACAAAAAATATACAAACTTGTGTACATATATACACAGCGGATTGTCATTTCTCTAGCAAACGAAAACAACAAGTTTCTGGGCACAAAAAAGGCTCAAAGCAGTTGGCTTGTTGTTGGCGTTGGAAATTAAATATGCATATATATTATATTATATATTCCCAGGTACATACATACATATGCAAATATTGTATTTACATTAACATATATCTTTATGTATACAGGTGTCTTAATTTTGTTAGACAAGTGCAAATAAAATGTGTCTTTATGTAAATAAAATCAATGGCATAAAATTATTTAATAATATAAACAAGGGTTGCGACAGATGATATGCTAGACTCACGAATTATGCGTATACATATGTACATATGCACCAGTGTGCATGATTATATAAACATACATATTTATATGAACATCATCCGAGAACTTCTGCTTAACCTCACATTTCCTGTGCTTAGCCCGAAGAAGTGAAAAGAAACTAAACTTAAATCCTCTTACTTTCAGCAACCTCTTCTTGATAAAGCCTTGGTCATGTCTAGCAGAGACGAAGCTTCAGTGAAACCACCGCGACAGTCTAACTGTACTGTCTGTGCACCAGTAAAGCAAGCGGACCACTACATAAAACCATCGAGCTATTGCTAACTATCCGGTTGTGTGCTTTATTTTGCGCCTGATAGCTATGGAACCAAGCCTATGAAAAACTTGACAATGCCTCGGACGAGAATTTGAAACTTCGATAAAGACCTCTGAATCATGATATGTTGGATCCAACTGAAATGTCTTGAATCAGGAAGCTGCGGAGCAGGTTGATGACCTCGTAGAACTAAAAGCTGACTTCACCGCTGTCCAGAAAGTGTGGGATATAAGAAAAAGACGAGCGAAGGTAGGTTCTTGTGACCTTTATTACATTGGTCAAATAAGCATTGAACGGCCGCAAGTTTGGTTCTGAATTTCTAAAGCGAGGGAGGATTTCAGACATCAAGGCAAAAGTATAACTAGAATTCGCCCCAAAGCGCAGCTCTTCATTGTATCACGGACACCCCGACGGAGGAGGAAGAAGACGTGTTTCAATTGTCAAAATTGTTTTTGAAAAATGTGTTCTTGACAATTTTGATGTCAGAGTGGGCAAGAAAGATTTAGTTACTTACATAAATCTTATATGCTGTTTGAGAGTTATAGCTATTAGGCCTTAAGCTGAGGGAACTGAGGTTTGTGTCATGGGCGACATGTAGTGGGCAGCTAAGTAGAAGATGGTTAACTGTCACTATGATATTTGCTCTGTATGTACAGTATAAAGGGGTAGAGATATTCGTAAGATATATTTGGTACAACCACCAGAAAATTTAGCCTCCAGCACGAAACATCCCCTAATCGAGTGAAGCTGATCAACTCCACTGTGGTCCGAAATGTGTTTATCCGCAGTAGCGAATTACTCCACAAAAATATTAATCAAGCTACTTTCCTGCCAACAGACTCAAAGACTCGAAATCATATTGACTGATAGATGGAAGTTACGTTTCAGAGCCATAGATGTGCGTACCCCTCGGTGCTCTCATATCCACTTGGAGTAACGTAAAGGAGAAAAACCAACTGCGTATCTTGCAGAGAGGGTTGAAAGGTTCCAGAAAAAATAAAACGAATAGTTGAATTGCATGCGTATGTAAAGCTTGTTCAACTAGGGTTATGTTCAAAATCTATATGTTGCGGTTCTCAGAAGGTTTCTATACCCCAGCATAGACATGTATGAATCAAAGAATCAATGAAACTTCCAGCACGCCTAATTGCAGTCTAGATTAAACGTTCGGTATTGACGAAGCTTAACCCGAATCGATGACAAAGCAATTGACATTCCCTTACGCGACTCTCAAGATGTACGAGTACCAATTGCCCGCCTGAAGAGTACCAAAGCGACGGTGGGCGAGAGCTTACCGACTGAGTTATTTAAATATGGCGGCCAAAATCTACAATCCGCTTATATAGAGTAAAAACATGGACGATTACGAAATCTGATGAGTTGGCGCTTCAAGTTTTTGAGAGAATGGTTTTACGGATCATTTACGAATGCGGAACATTTAGATTTGAATGACACTTTGCAGCCCCCAAAACGATTTTCAATTTGTAGTATGTATGCTTCCTGATGTTTTTCTAACAAATGGCCACCTCCGAACAGACGATGGAGTTTTATGAGGAGCTTTTATTTCAAGAGAAAAATGCACTCAGAAAGTCTTACATTTCCTGCAGTAAAATAACAAAGATTAGATTTTGGATGTTGGTCAGACCAGGACTTGAGCTCTGATATTCGGAATGACTATACGCACTGCTAACTGGCGCTATGAGCTTTGAAACTAATCGAAAAAGAACCTGGCATTAATTTATGTCTTTAACTCGGTTGCAAACACGAAAGCCTACTCGTAATATTAATATTTTTTGATGAATTTCTGAACTGAAATTCCAAACAAAATATTATCACCCACCTCCCCCGGAGCTTGCATAAGCTTCCAGATATTACAGTTAGCTTTTGTAGCTGAACCAACTACCAACGACTTAGCGACTACTGAGAGTAAATACCTCAGAAGCGTTCAGCCAGCCACTCAGCATGCGCGGTATCTTTCTCTAACGAACCGTACGACCCACCAGTTGCAGCAACGACTCAGTCACGCCAAAGTGCAGTTCGATAGGCTTATCACAGCCATTTGAAAGAGAATGCGTGGCCAAACAGCTGTGCGGGCGCTTATCACACCACAGCCAAACATACTGTTTGCCAGTTGGCCGAAACCGCACGTGCCTTGAGGCTAATTTCAGCAAATCTAGCGAAGTTTTACTAAACTTGCTTGGAGGAGTGCGTGAAGGTGCTTAGATATTTGTATGCAGCTATATACGTATATATATGGCATGTGGTAAAAAAATATGCACAACCAGACCAGACACCAACCACAGTGAGCATGTTGAAGCGACGAGAGCAGTTGGCAATTTTACTTTTGGCTATTTTTGGTGAGTCCGCAAAAGGGTACGCATATAATAAAAGAAGCGAAAATATCTATTCTTCCTTTACAGCCTTTCAGTACACCGAAGGACTTTTCAAGAAACTGATCACCGTCGAAAATGATGGCATCGATGACGAGAGTGACGAGCATGTCAGGTGGAAATTTCCCACTGTCAAGTTCCTTAAACCCTTCAGCCTTTTTGATAAGAAAATAGAAAAAGTTGAGAATAAATTAGAGAAGAAAAAGGAAGGCTTAGAGGAATTGATACAGGAAAAATTAGCGAAGTGGGAAGAGAAGAAGGAAAAATTCGATGAGAAATTGTTGAATTTATTCGACACCATCAAAGAAAAGGAGCAGAACAAGTTTGAGAAAAAGGCTGAACTCAAGGATTTAATCAAAGATAAACATTTAACTACACCGGCGCCAGTTTATGGTCCCCAACTGCCAGATGCATATGCTCCACATCCCGCACCTGCTTATGGATCTCATCAGCTACCGCCGACATACCACCAGCCACCAGCTGCAAAGTATCATGGCGCTCCCTCCCCTGCACCTGCACCGTCTTCATCACCTTCATATCACCCACAGCCACCGGCACCAGCACCTGCCCCAGTTTATCCGACGCCAGCAACAACGCCAGTGCCAGTTTATCGCACACCAGCTCCTGCACCAGCTCCAGCTTATCACGCACCCCACCCTGCGTCAGACTATGCACATCCACCAGTGTATGCGCATCGTTATTCGTCATATGAGCACCGACCTTCAGCGTATGATCATCATACTCCATCGTATGGCTATTACTCAGGACCAACACCTGCCCCCAGATACCATGCGCCTTCTCCACATAGCTCTTACTCGAGTTATAAGCCATCAAAGCCGGCACCAGCTCGTTACTACGACCATTGCTCAAGCGAGGAACATTCGTACTCATATAGAAAAGCGAGGCCAGCAAGACCAGCAAGACCAGCTAGACCTGTACAACCATCCTATACAAACTCTCGTTATAATGATGAATATGAAGTGCGCTACTTCACTTAATATGACATTAAATTTTCTGAGTTGAGATATTTTCAATTTACTTTAAATTTTTTTATTCAAATTGTTTGGATTTCTTGGATTGGGAAGGATAATTAGCTAAGGAAACTCAAGAGCCATCGTTAGTAGGTGGGAATTTACTAGGTGGTATGCGAGGATTCATTACATGCATTACGCTAGATAAGTAGAAGTTGGGTCTGCTGCGGTATCCTAACCCTAAGTGTGTCAGCTTCTTTCGGGTCTCGCCGGGATGTTCGAGCTGTTCGTCTGCCATGGGTGGTGATCAAATCCGATTTTGAGTGGTAGATCGTGCGTGGACATTTCAATGAATGAATGGGTTATAAATGAAATCAAGACGTTTCCGGTAATGATCTTCAAGGCACATTTACAGCATATGCATCAGCGCCTTGCTAGCCCTGGTATTCAGATCGGCGTGAAGTAGTTTCTGAGCGGTCTCTTGATTGATTTTTCTCCTGGGGCAGCCATCGAGCGACTTAAAAATTTTATTCCCGCTCTTTACCTTTGGGACAATCGCAGTTGTATGCATAGTGGAGGAATGCAGGCCGTCGAATGCCACTCCCTTTATTTTGTTTTGCTTACAATTGAAATTTTGACGTCAACGACTGTGACATTCAGTTCGAGTCGGTATTCACTCGTTCTTCAAGTGAATTAGATCGTCGTTGTTCTAATTAAAAATGACGTGCAGTGAAGAAGTGGTAAATCTTCTGCTGCTATACGCTTCGTGTAGAGTGGTCTCGTAGTCAAGACGGGAAGATGTAAGAAGGTATTACAGCACTAATAAATTTCACAATCATTCCAAAATGAAGTACAAGTTAAACCGCAGTCTCACTGCGCCTTGCAGATATTCTTGAGGGTTTAACTAAAGCATTATCTTATGTTCACCTCAATGATCAAAAGAAGCATGGCAAAGGAAACTTATTTAGTCAAAGTGTCGTATTCTCCAGAGCTGATGATAGGAACATCACAGCACCAACGTCTACCTCGCCAGGGTGATACATATCTTGTGAAGCTATAGAGAATCAAAAACTCTACCGAAGAAAAATTTTCCTTCGCTATGCTTCCTTCACCTTCAAAATGTAGCAAATCTAGCCAGTTCTTCCATCATTCATTACCTTAATGGGAAATACTCTCCTCATACGGACTGGTGAAGGGTTTAATAATCTCCTTAGAGGCTGATATAAAAATATTTATATTGTCCGAAAACTGGGCAGGATAGTCAATATTAACAAAATCATAAATCTCTTGACCTAAACTCGGGACCTACGCACTATGGTATCTATACTGAAGTGTCTTAAGATAACTTTTGGTCAAGGAATGGATTGTTCTTGACAAAATTCGATAACGAGCTCCTTTCTCAGGTGAGGACTTTCATTCATTTCCTTTCTGATTTTCATATTCCATTGTAGAGAGGACTCCCAATGCAACCCAGAGTTGCAAATTTATTTGCCTTTCGTTGCAATAATTTCTCCAATGAATCCACCTCCTCACGTCGGAAGTCTTTTTCCGTATAATTTGCGAAATTTTCCTGCTTATTTTGTCAGCCACAAAATACAAAAATGTTTGCAAGTCAAGCGAAAGGTGAGGTGTGATGTGATGTGTGATGATGTTGGTGTGTGAGGCGGTGGTAGTGGTGGTGCTACATGAGTTGTTCCACAACATAAATAAGGCGGCATTTAATTGAGTCTGACGTGCAGAACTCAAACAAACAAAGGTTGGCGCGCACACAGCCACACCTACAACCAAAAGAAAAAAAGAAAAAGGTGGAAGTGTCCATGGTGCGTGTGCATGTACATATGTGTGGGTTAAGGTTATTTGCAGCACGTTGAATTGCATTTGCCAGCAAAAGTGCGAAAGTGAAATGTGGCATACGTGGGAGAGAGGTGATGTGTGCAGTTGGCGGCTGGCGGCATGCGGTGCGGTTATTGCAAGTTTAATGTGCGCAACGGGATTATTTGTGTATCAAGCTCACACACATACACATAGCTACCGACTGCCGAAAAGCAACTGTGTGCGATATTCGTATATACCAAGTTGGAGTAGCTGGAACTAGTGTGGGCTGTAGTTAGTGGTGGCTGCAATGTGGCAACAGTTTACTGCATTAATTACTCAACAACGCTGTGTTATCTTCATTACCATCCCCAAACACATTGACAAGCTTCTGTGCTATGTTCTTTGTGTGTGTGTGTCTTTATTTGCTCTTCCGCCCGTCGGTTTTACACAATTTTGATAAGAATATTAATGCATGTAGTCTGCCTTTAGGCGCCCAAGCCATACCGCCAACCTTCCAAGTGAGTTTTATTAAGTGTTAGTCGAGTAAATTGTGTGCGGCTTGTGCATAGTGCAAAAGTGAAAACTTTTCAGGTTTGAACCGAAAATAATTTTGTAATGAGCGGAAATTTGTTGGAAATGCCCAAAAGCAGACTTTCCTAAGTATTTATGACAAAACTTTCATTTAATCGCTCGCTGGTGGGACACAACTTTTGGGATCACGAACATAGATTCTGTGCACGCCTAATGGTGTGAATGTGTTAGAAGATGGTGTATGCGCAAGTATTATATCCAAATGGACTGAAGTCTTGCGTTGAAACTAGAAAGCTAGCCTCAGAAGGGATCGTCAACCCCTCCGAGTGTACTTTTGACATAAAGTAAAGTGTTCATTACGAAAACCATGAAATGATTGAGATCGACCCTGACTTGGGACTCGTCATCTGAAAACAAACATCCTTTAATTCTTCCTTCCGTTATAGAGGAGACGGGCCCTTCGTCCGCTTCAACTGATGGGTCTATATCGGTATCTTTCAAAGCTGGAGACAGACAATATTCCCGAGTTAGTATAACCGCTATCTCTCAGTTCGCTGACCTATGTTATTGCACGTATTAGCCGAGGTGTTAGAAGTGCGTACTGCCGTGCAGATGGTCATGGGTTGGAGTCACATCCTGACTAACATCTAAAATTAAAGTCCCTCTACGGAGGGAATATTAAGATTTCCAAAACAATTTTTGAGATGAAATAAAAGCTTCTCATAAATATAAATGGGCGATTTAAAACCAGATTAAAACAAACTAGAGATTCCTGTAGGTACTGGGTCACTATGAATTATGTCAAGGTATCCGTATATCCCATATAGCTCACCATTCCAGTGGCTGCCGTGTGCGCTCTTGCCAACAAGTAGAGAACCGTAAATATTGCGCAAAACTTTCCTCTCGAAGACTAAAAAGAGGACCCATCCGATGTCAACATCGCCCACGCTTATGCACCATATATTAGAACAGGAACGATAGGTGACTTGCAAAATTTTGTCTTCGTTCGTCAACAGACAACTCTTCACTGCCCACTCAATTCAGAGTAGCACCTGTTGGTAAGTTTGATTCTGCGTAGGATTGTAAGGCTGATACTACTATTATCGTTAATGCTGTTCTCGAGTGGTTATCACTGCCCACTGCCATTCGGAAGGTCCGGGTTATAATCCTGGTACAATCCACACCTCTAGATAGCTGAAATTATTTACGACCTAGAGGTTATGATTCTCAAGAGTGGTGGTCTTTAGTCTTTCAAACATACACACGATAGTACCTTATATGCCATCTTATCGTCGGCCAAGCTTTTGTCCAACAATATCTTGAAAGGAAAGTGAAGCATGCACCTTCTCAGCTCTTCATCAGCATGTTTGAATACCTCTAGAGGTTGGCCGTCCAGTTCGATCCGCTTGGTAGTTTTTCAAACGGATTATCGCTATTCGAACCTAGTCTTAGTAGGGCAACGAAGCATTTGTTGCTTGGTCGTCGATTGGAGTTTTAGGTTTACAATCTTCTGGTGTACCATTTTAACTGCCATTCAGCAGGCTGGGCATTGGTTTCTAGACAACCTTTTTGAGTTCTACAAGAGTCCACTCCGATCATGAAAGCCGACATATCCTTTGTATAATTTACGAGCATTACCCTAGCCCGCTAGTTTCTCAAGCCTTCGTACTCACGCATTCCGCATTTTTTATTTGGAAATGCGTCTTGCTTCCTTCTTCAGTTCTCGGTATCTATCCCAATCGGCACGTGTTGTGATCGATAGCAAGATTACGAGGAAAACAGGCTGGATTGACCAGGTATAAAGCACTTAATATTCACACAGTAAGCTTCAAGACTTTGGGTGCTATGTTAGACTAGTATAATTAAGACAGATTGCGGAATACTTCTTTTGTATATTGGGCAAAGCACATACAATCTTCGGACATGCTTTCATAGCTCAGCAGAAATCGAATATTGGAACATTTTTTTCATCATCATCTATTGGAATTCGGATTAATCATATCGGAGTGTTATTGTATTACAGAAAACCATCTCTCAGTCTACAGATAAGACGATCAGTGTCAGTCTATTTAGTAAGATTTCATCGAGAGAGGTGAATTTTATGATAAAAGTAGCGTGAACTCCAATTAGAGAAATTTTAAATCATAATTAAGATCACCGTGGTATGTTCGTCCTTCGTATATGAATCCCATTCCCTCTCATTCATATAATCCCTGTGGACGGGTGGATGATGTTAGCGCTTGATTTTCCGAGATCTTCAATCATAGCTTAGCGGTATTATTTTTTCAGTTAAGAAACTAGAGTCTCAAAAAGCCTTATAATCGGAGGTTATACAAAAAACAAGTTCTCAGTTCCGGTTATACTTCATTTGGATATTTTTTTAATGGATCCCAACCCTAGCGACACCCTTAGTTGTAGGAGAAGGTGTAAAACAAAGTCGAATTTACACAGCTAACCGGTTGCTTAAAGATCGCTCTGTGGTGAAGAGAAGCTATAATAGACTCTTTGATAATATTATAAAAATCGGATGATCCAAGTAGAGGTACTTTTTCAATAGCCTTTTTCGCCAGATCACTCGTAAGTCGTGTCAATATGTCATGTTATTTTTGTTAAATATTGTTTTGCATTTGAACGAACAACTCAAATTTTTTATGAACATTCACGTTCTGCAAAGAATGTGTTTCTCGCGCTTCGACCAAACAGATCACATCCAACAAGCAA